ATACTCTTTAGAACACATAATAGACTCAGCAATATTCGGATATGAGAGTGGTCACGAACCGAATGTTCAAGTTCAATGTATTGGCAACATTCAAGAGTTATCAGCCACAGAAGAGAAAGAATTTTCTATTGCAGAAAAGCAACAAAAAGACCCTTTTTGCTTATCAATTCGAAACGCTTTAGAAGGCAAAGAATCAGATAAGAAAACAAATAGACTATCACGGAAATTCACCATAATATGTAACGTATTATACTTTAAATCATATAATCAAAATATAGGCAACTATAACTTACTGGTAGTACCCAAAGAAGTTACTACTAGAATATTAAAAGCATACCACGAAAGTCCAACGTCAGGACACGCAGGTATATCACGGACTATACATAAGCTACAGCAAAAATATTATTGGCCTTCTCTTTCGAAAGACACGGCAGCCTATATCAAATCATGCCATTCATGTCAAATCAACAAGAGAGCCACAGGGAAACCTACAGGATTATTACAGCCTATCCCAGTCATAGATGGAACTCCGTTATCTAGAGTAACTATTGATTTTCTCGGGCCACTATGCAATAGTAATGGAAAGAAACACGTTATAGTAGCAGCTTGTNAAAGAAACACGTAATAGTAGCAGCTTGCAACACGACCAAGTATATTTTCACCAAAGCAGTTCGCTCTGCAGACGGCGAGTCTGTCATAAAATTCCTTTTCGAATTAATTTTCAAATGGGGCTGCCCTCGATCTATAACAAGTGACCGAGGAACTCACTTCNATGGGGCTGCCCTCGATCTATAACAAGTGACCGGGGAACTCACTTTAAAAATAAGGAACTGGCACAAGTTTGTGACAACTTAGGCATCAAACAGAAGTTCAGCTCAGCCTACTCGCCTCAATCTCAAGGATTTGTAGAACGAACAAATGAGACGCTATGTACAGCTTTACGACATTATATGCAAGACAACAATCAGAATAGATGGTCACACTATTTACCAGCTGTCACTTTTAGCTACAACACTACACCGCAGTCTACAACTGGATTTTCGCCATTCTATCTAATGCATGGATTTCATGCTGCACAGCCTATAGACAACAAAATAATCCCTCAGCCTCTATCACATGACTTAAAGAAAGCGCTGGAAGACTTACATAATGTTAGAATGAAACTACCAGACATAATAGCAAAAGCTCAAAAAACGCAGAAAATCAACTATGATTTATCATACAAACACTTAGAATACCNCAACTATGATTTATCACACAAACACTTAGAATACAAACCAGGTCAATTAGTCTTAGTCAAATTTCCTTTTATAATAAAAAACCAATGTGCAAAATTAGGCCACCAATATCGTGGTCCATTTAAAATAATTAACAAAATAAATTACGTAAATTATGAAGTAGAACTAATCCTTAATAAAAATGTCGTGAAGGATACCATACACATTAGACGACTAAAACCGTACTACAATAGAGACAATGATGATAAAAACCACAGCGTTGAGACTATTGTGCATGGGCATAACAGCGATAGCATTCACACAACTGATTCAAACGGAAGAAATAAAAAGTNACAACTGATTCAAGCGGAAGAAATAAAAAGCCCGACGATTATATTTACAAAGTTACGTCAAATATGATTGGTCAGAAGTCATTAAACAATATTATTGAACCGAAATCAGAAGTAACATAATAAAACTTCAAGCCCTGCAAAAACTTCCTACTACCCAACAAGCTTTATTCCAAGCAAATACCCCCTGAAAACAAAGCAAGATTAAAAACAATCTATACAGCCTGATCATTAATCAAAACATCAAGGACTACAAAAGAAAAACAAAAAGAACAATATCGTTCCACAACCAAATCATACACCAAATGTAGGAAAGTAGGCGGATCAAAAAATATATATATAAAAAAAAAAAAAATGTAAACTAAATTAGTTAAGTTAAATTATTTTGTTCTCATAAAATATTCATTTATTTGTTCATTTTAATTGTTCATTACCACGGGGACGTGGCACCAAAAAGACATGGGTGGATGTGATGGTGTCACGTTTTCATAATCGTGAGAATTATTTTAATAAAATACAGACAGCACATCCGCTGCCTGAGACTGGTGAATTAACAAATAATATTTATTGCCAAATCGGCAATAGGTGTAATTATTATAAAAACCCAATAGACCTGACCATCGTGGTCAGTCGACTCCAGTGCCTTGTGTCATTCATCAGTCTCAGTACTCGGTTGTCGCTGTCCGGCTTACTGTTTAAAGTAAAGTCTTTGTTTATTCCTTTTCTAACCTATATACTCTTTTCCTCGACATTTCAGAGTACTTGTGTCTTGCACTTCGTCTGCACCTCATACCTAGGTGTTACTCTTATTCTCCCTTCCTATAACAACAGCCTTTCGACACCCACAGCTAACCCGGAGTGTCAGCCGAGCACGGTGACTGCTGTACGACAACACGCGCGTGAATACCTAGACAGCAGGCACCACCTCCTCATATTCATCTTCGTACACACAGTTACATAGTTTCACACTTACACATAGTTTTTCTTTCCTGTGTTACGACATAACTTAATTCGTTTATTAGATATAATCATTTAAAGTTTCAAATTTTTGAATTAATATACAGATATAATACACAAGGGATTACAAATATAGGTAGCTAATTGGTTTTTTATAACATCGATATTAGCAGGTACACAGCATTGTTATTATCAATTGTAGTAAGGCACATTGTTATGAGTTTATAAATACACCAACTGACAATACAGAAAGTATATTTATTGATAATCATAATTGATAATAAACAATCCGTGACTGAGACAGCAATGTCATAAAAATCCAATTAGCTACCTGTATTTACAATCCCATGTGTATTATACATGTATATTAACTCAAAATTTTGAAACTTTAAATGTTTATATCTAATAAGCTAATAAAGTTATATTAAAAATTCAAATGCCATTTACTATTAAATTAAAAACTCAAACATTTTATTAAATTAAAAATATGTGTTACCATTTAAAAAAACAAAGTTGACCCCCTTCCAAGGCATAAGGGATGAACTTAAAAAGTATTACATAGTTAAAAATTCAAGAATAATGTGTAACTAAAGATAATAAAAAAAAAAATGTTTAAATTATTATTATTCTGCAATTAATTGAGTGGGTTATGATAAAAAAATCACCCTGTATATTTTTCTTTTATTTTATATAAATTTTTTGAAAATCTGACTCAAATGCTGCTCACATGGGAGATTCAAAAAAACATTTTTCGCACAAGTTAACCTTTTTCAATTTAGTTTTTGAAAATGTTCCGGAATTATTGATACTTTTATTTATCTTAAATTAAACCTTATATTATATACTTAACTATAAAAAAAAATTAGAATTATAGATTTTCTTCTTGGTGAAAATGGCTACCGTATTCAAAAATATGCTATTTTTGTGTTAAAATTCTGGATTTTGTATTTTATTTTATTTAAAATATCTTACAAGGGGAATACACTAACTATCATGAATATTATATGATATAATTGACATAGAATAAAGTTCATAAAACTTAAGAAGTTAAACTTATTTAAATTTTTTTTATTTTTTAAAGTTGAAAAAATAACTTTAAAATTTGATTTAGCTTAAACTGCCAATTTTAAACGCCAAAAGTTAATTAGAAATGATTACTATAATTTCTATTTACGATAAAAATGTACAAAAATTGAGCTTTTTTTATAAATTTACTGTAATTATTAATTATAAAATTTCCTGATGCATATTAATCTTAACATATCATTTTAGCTTCGATGCGAAGCTGAGAAGGTATTTTTTTACTATGATGTGTTTTTTTTTTTTTTTTTTTTTTTTTTTGTGTCTGTTACCACTTTTTCTCAGCTCTCACCGAACCGATTTCTTTCAACGATACGTCAAAAGATCACAAATCGTATCTAGTCGAAGACATTACCCTTAAAAATTGAAAAAAATTCCCTCGTTCCCCGTAAAAAGGGGGAAACCTCCATAAAAATTACAAAATTAAAAATCGCTAATTTTCGAAATTATTTCAATTTTTTTTTACTAAAAACTGCCGTAACTTTTTCAAAAATGAACATATCAATATAATTTTTTTTTATATAGATGCTTGATGTCTTTACTTATCATTTGGTATATTTTTTTTGTAAATCTGACACTTAACCTGCCCACAGGGGGGGATTTAAAATGACAACTTTTTCACAACAAATTTACTTTTTCAACATAACTTTTGAAAATGTTCCGGAAGGTCTGACACTTTTATATATATCTTAAATTAAAGCTAATGTAATATACTTTAATTTGAAAAAAAAAAATTTGACCTCTGGACTTGTCTTCATGGCGAAAATGGCTACCGAATGCTTTTTTCGTGTGAAAATTCTCGATTTTATTATTTATATTATATTTAACTTTATAATGCTATAACTTATTGAAAAGTTTATGGATCCACACAATTTTTTTATGACAAATAATATTTTTTAATAAACCCTTTTTCATTCGACATACTTTATCTTAATCAGGATATTAATAAGGAACCAGCAGATCAAGTAGCTTTTGGAATAAAACACATATTTTTTTAAAATTAAATACTATCTAAAGATTTGCATCGAAGTGTTTATTTTTGATAGTGATTTTAATCACTGTCAGATATCATTTACTTGATCCAACTATGCCACGTCACCACCACTGTGCCGCGATCCCCCTGTGCTGGGTTTTTTTTTCTATTAAATTATATCAATTTCAAACTTGCATATTGAGCTAATAGTAATGGTAATAAATTCATTTTTTTATTATAAACTTTCACTTAAATGGACTATAGTATTTGAAAAATAATAATATATAAGTCCTATAAAGCTTTATTTTTGTAATAAATGTTAACTTAATAAAATTATTTTTAGAAAATTTTCAGATATTCGATATCAATTAAATAATATACTTGGTAAAATTAATAGGTGTAAATAATGAAAATCGGATTTACCTTCGTTAAATATCAAACAAGATGTTATCAACAAAAAATATTTTAATTGCCACTAGAAAAAAATAATCTTTTAGATTTAAATGGAGTAATTCATATAAAGTGTATTACTTACCTCCATTTTTATTCGTCTTCTTTTTACTAGTGTTATAAGTGTTATATTCTAAATAATTATTGACAATTACTCGTTAAATAGGTGAATATATATATATATAAAAAATCACCATTAAATTTAATTATTTTACGTAAATAATAATGTAAATATACTTTATTATTTACTCGGTATAAATCGGTATTGACTTAAACAAATTCTTAAAAAAATGAATTATAAGAAAATAATTTTAAAAAATTGATAAATCAAGAATTATGTGAAACTAAAAACTAAAAAATACCAAAAAGAATTTTCTTGACATAATTATTATATTAAGATAAATTAAGTAACTTATATTAAAAGAATCGTTCTGTATATTTTATTAAGATAAAATAAAACTGTTATTCAATAATGTATTAGTAATACAAAAAGATGATACTTAATATTTTTCATAGGAAATAATTTTTTTGTATTAATTTATATTTTTCTCCATAATTCAATTTACCTTTTATATGGACCTTTTATATAACCTAAGTCGAAATTATATTATTATTTTTAAAGTAACTTGTAATTTTACTGAGTTTACTCTTTCCACTAAATAACTCATAACTTAGAGAACACAGGGGAGTGGCACGTACCTAAAGAAAAATTTAATAAAAAAAGATTCGTCAGAGAGCAAAAGAGATAAAAAAAAGTAATAAGTATAACAATCTATAATGTCACTCATAAAGTGCATGTTCAGTTCTATTAATACATTAATAAAACAACAGAAAATAAATATAATTTGTGCATTTATGTTTATATAATTCTTATTTCTCTAATATTTTTTATGAATTTTATTTATTAGATAAATTATTAGTGATGCATACAAGAAAATTTATTTTTATCATAATATTATTTTAGAAATATACATTTATTAATGCTTATTAAAATAAAACACTCATTGGTATTAGTTATTTGAATGGAGAAAATGTACTTTAAGAATAAAATTGTGTTTAATAGCATGATTTAAATTTCTAAATAAATATCAGTTCCTCTACTACTTTTTTTAAGGACCAAAAATATTGCAAAAAAAATTTATATGTTAAAAGTGTATTAAGTGGAAGAATTCATTAGAACTCCAAAATATTCTTAAATGAAAAATTATAAATTAGATAAGAAATACGAATTCTTTAAAGAAATTTCTAAAACCAATATTTTGGACCTAATATTTAAAATCATATGTAAAAAAAAATTATATATAATATATATATATTTATGTATTTGTTTTTATACTTCATAATATTCACAGTTGCTATTTGATCAAACAATGTTTACTCAAACAAGCAACACGTTTGTTTCGCTCTCGCTTCTGAGTTAAACGTGTAGAAGTGTCTGTTATAAAAATTTGTTTATAAATAGTTCACAATGCATGCCGTGGACATTCGGACGACTGGTAAGTGTTTTAAACAAGCTAATTATTAAGTGGGTCGCACGTGCGACAGATCATATTTCAACAAATGGAATTAACTATGGATAGCGACGGCAATTCACCGTATACTAACGTAACTATCAGCTCAAGTATTTTACAACAAATGCAAACTGATAATCAAATGTTAAAAAAACAAGTCGCGGAACTGCGAGAGAGCAATGAAAAATTACAAAAAAAACTTTTTGAAATGAATCAAGGCGCTTCTGATGTAATTATGAGCTCACCTAAGAAAACGATTCAATTAACAAAGGAAATTGCGAGTATTTCCGTCAAAATTCGTAAACCACCACCCATAAAAGTATGTGATGTTACCGACGTAAAAAAGTTTATTAGCAACTTGACATTAGAAGAGACTAAGGATAATGAACAACTTGTCAGAACCTTAGCTAATGGTGATATTAAGGTTTTAACGAGTGACGAACATCAGTTTCGTCGAACAGTGAAAATTTTAGAAAAGCAAAATATTGAATACCATCGATACAAGCTTAAAACTGAAAAAATGTTTAAAGCTGTGATTAGAGGTTTACACCCTCAGACTGACATTTGTGATACTAAAAGAGAGTTAGCGGACTTAGGTGATCTAGCTCATAATATTACAAATGTTTAAATAAATAAGAAAAAAGATCAAAATAACAAAAACAGTGATTAGACAATACATTAGAAACACATTAGACTGCCATTGTTTTTTGTAGAGTTAGAACCACAAACAAACAATAAAGACATCTTTCAGGTAGATAAATTGTCCCATCACAAGATTCAAGTGGAGCACCCGAGGAATAAAAAAAAAGAAGTACCACAGTGTAAAAACTGTCAAGCTTTTAACCACACACAAAACTACTGCCACAAAACTCCAATATGTGTAAAATGTGGTGAAAAACACAAATCCAAAGCTTGCACTAAGTCTAGAAAGACTAAAGCAATATGTGCAAACTGTGGTGAAAATCATACAGCCAATTAGAAAGGCTGTTCAGCTTATAATGCAGCTGAAGCAAAAGCTAATCTGAAAAAGGTGACTGCAGTCCAACGCATACAGTCAAAAGCGTATACAAATTTAAAAAGTGGTATTTCTTACTCACAAGCAACCAAAACAACTACCGAGACAGAGGTCGAAACTAGAACAACATTACAAGCTGAGCCATCACTTTGCGATGTACTATTAGCCTTGAATAGTGTTACTCAAACATTAGACAAAAGTCTCCACTCTTCCCTCTTACTTGCTTTCCTTTTGCCTCTCTGCTACCACTCCTCATTTGTACCTCTATTTCTTTGCATTTCTTTCCATTTTCTTTTGTAAACCCAACCTGTGGGCAGGTAAAGGGTTAAATTTATAAAAAAAATATACCAAATGATAGTTAAAGACATCAAGCATCTATAAAAAAAAATTATATTGATTTGTTCATTTTTGAAAAAGTAATGGCAGTTTTAAGAAATAAAAAATTGAAAAAATTAGCGATTTTTAAATTTGTAATTTTTTTAGAGGTTTCCCTCATTTACGGCGAACGAGATGAATTTTTTTAATTTTTGATGATAATATCTTCGACTAGATACGATTTGTGATTTTTTGACGTATCGTTGAAAGAAATCCGTTCGGTGAGAGCTGAGAAAAAGTGGTAATAGACACAAAAAAAAAACACACATAGTAAAATTAATATTTTCTCAGCTTCGCATCGAAGCTAAAATGTAAAATATAATATCAGAATTTTTTTAATTTCGTTTTTCATTATAATGAAATAATAAATCGGTTTGAATAAATAATTATTTATTCAAACCGATTATAATTTTTATCATTAAAACTGTACTAAAATTATATTTTTTTTTCTTTTTAAGTCGGGGAAATAAAATTATCACAAGATTGAAATGAATATTTTGAGCTGAATATTTTAAACTTTATTACAATTGGATAATTATAAATAATTATTGTTGTGTAATCGGCACACTACTATTTCCCGAAATTAATGACTAATGAAAATATGAAATATCACTGAGCTTGTTAATATTTATTTAAATGTTCACTATTAAATAGTCACTAATTAAGTTACAAAAAATATTAGATAACTTTTAAAATATAGCTTATTTTTTTATGCAATAAAAATGCATAAATTACAGAAGAACGAATAATCTATAGTAAAAAAATAACCTGTATTGTAAAACATTTTTAATGTGCGTCACTTACTTAAAAATGTAATTTAAATTTACACTTTTTTAATTACAAAACCATCCATTGTTAAAGCATTTATTTCAAGTTTTTGTTGTAAAAATTTAAGTAAACTAATCTTGTAAAATGCATTTCATTTTTTTTTTTATTTAACATTATTATGAACTAAATTCACTCATATTTTAAATACTATCACATTTTAAAAGACAGTGTATCGAGAAAAAAAATACCACAAGTTTATCGTCCCGCTATTAAAATACTAAACACACAATACGATTAATTTTTAATTATCGGTGTAACTTTGGACGAAAAATTCCTTGTGAATAAACTGTATCACTTATTTGAAAATTTCAGTTGGGTTATTATTTTTTTAAGTTTTATTCTAAGTTATTAATTTCCACATTGTTTCATTTTCTTTCCGCATTTTCTATTTGGTCATTTAAATTTTTAGCTTCGATGCGAATTTTACCATGATGTGTTTATTTTTTTGTGTCTGTCACTACTTTTTCTCAGCTCTCACTGGACCGATTTCTTTTAACAATACGTCAAAAGATCACAAATCGTATCTAGTTGAAGACATTACCCTTAAAAATTTATTCCCCGCAAATGGGGTAAATCTCCAAAAAAATTACAATTTTTAAAATCTGTAAATTTTGTCATTTTTTTCACTTTTTGTCTTAAAACTTCCATAATTTTTTCAAAAATCAACAAATCAACATAATTTTTTTTATATTAAAACCTTAGATATTTACCTTTCATTTTATATCATTTTTTTGAAAATCTAACACTTATTCTGCTCCCAGGGGGGGGCTTTAAAATAGCAACTCTTTTACAAAAACTAACTTTTTCAACTTAACTTTTGAAAATGTTCCGGAAATACTGCGTCCTTTCAACATATATAAAATTTAAGTTTATGTCATGTACTATAAAATTTAATTTGTTCCGACGATCTATCTTCTATGTGCAAATGGCTACCGTATTCAAAAATATGCTATTTTTGTGTTAAAATCCTGGGTTTTGTATTTTATTTTATTTTAAAATATCTTATAGGGGCAATTCACTGACTTTCATGAATATGATATACTTTAATTGACATAGAATAAAGTTTATAAGACACAAAAAATTAAACTTATTAAAATTTTTTTACTTTTTTAAAGTCGAAAAAGTAATTTTGAAATTTAAGCTAGCTTAAATTGCCAATTTTATGAAGCAACGAACAGTTGTCAAATCGGTAACACTTAGGGTACGAGGTTCAAATCCGCCTGTGGCGATTAATATTTTGCATTCTTCTTGAGTTAGAAAAAAATGTTCAAATCATTTGAATTTTATCTCATTTAGATTCAATAACTTCCATAAATATCAAGGATCCCATCACTACNTCTACTTTTATCGACTTCAATAAATATTAAGTATCCCATCACTGTAGTCTCCCCTCATGAGAAGAAATTTCTTATTCATGTTAATATTATTTTACTATTTTTTTTTTTTTTTTGTGGCTACGATTTATTTTGCCAACCCTCACTTGACCTACTTTTATCAACGATACGTCAAATTATTATAATTCGTATTTAGTTGAAGATATTACCCTTAAAAATTGAAAAAAAATTCTTTATTCAAATAAAAAATAGCTTAACCAGCTTTATCCATACAAACAATTAAAATCATTCATTTTTAATATTTTTAAAGTATACTGTCGAATTAGATTTGATTTTATATAATTTTACTTTAAAATTTATATAATTTTTTTTATTCTATTTGTGTGTGCTACTACCAGTCTATAACATTCCAAATTGTTTCGTAACATGTTGCTATATAAATCATAAATTTAAAAAAAAAA